TTACCTACTGGATCCATCACAGAGCTCTCTGTGCTATAAACCCGGTTCCTTATCTTCTTCAGTACTAGTATTCCGAGGGCCTTGCATTGGATTCATAACTTTGACTAGACCACAAGCCCTCAATCAAACCTTAGAAAGACTTTGAGGATACCTAGAGTCACACAAACAAAAGAAGCAGGCAAGGAAATTTATAAGAAGTCAATTAAGGTAACACAACTAAAACAAACAAGTGCACCACCATATTTACCATTACGAACATTTCAGGGCCAGTGTGGGAACATAAATTCACACTTGTCGATTTCTGTTAAATAAAGAAACTTAGGAAAATCCTAATTTTCCAGAGGAACCGGATCTCTGCGAAACCCAACGACAAGGAACCAAATAAATGCGGAGAAATATGAAAAACGTAATAAAACGAATTTAAAGAAAAGGTAGATCTTATTTCGATTTCGCTTAAGAGTGTTGCGATCATTACAAGGGTTCACAAGGGCTTTGGCCGCAGGGCCGTCAGCGAGTTACCAACATAAAAACCTTAAACCTAATCGAGTTGCAGCTCGATAACAAAAGACGGAAAAACATAAGAAAAATGATTTGAATGATTTCGGACTGAACCTTATGAAAGGCTGCCTACGTACCCCTTTCGAGGATCAAGTTGAACGTAGTTCAGTTGATAGAGCTGGACCAGAGATCTAACCGCCTAGGTGAGTTCGTCTAGTAATTGAGCGCCAGTCATAGAAACTGAACTTGTCCAGAAAAAGCCTAAGTTTCTAAGTGCGGAAAATTCTAAGTCTAGAAAAGTTGTAAAAGTCTCAGATGAGAGCTCTGAAATTCGTCCCTTTGCTTCTGCCCTATGCGTCTTGCTTATATACTCCCTTCCTAGGCGGTTTAGTCTTTCCATTTCGCCCAGATTTGAGTTTAATAGGAATCTTCCATTTATCTCGATCTTTCCTTTTTTCCCACGAAATCTTCTATCTATCCTCAAACTTGACATTTATCTTCAAGTTTGACATTTATCTTCTTTCTGCGAGTAAATCGCCAAAACGTCGTCGTATCTTCGGGTTGGACTTCGTTTAAAGTCGCGAGTGGCTTTTATCGCGTTTTATGACTTTCCAAGCCGTTTTGTGATAAATCCGTTTTGCAACTTTAGACAAGATCGTTTCCTGATACGATGCCGTTTTTAGATAAGTTTCTCGAGTGAATCGTAAAGCTAAGTAATGTTCGATGTTTCGATTAGTCAATGCCGTTCTCTACGATCTACTCGGGGTTTTATTAAAAACGCGTTTTGTACGATTTTTACGAAAAATCTCGAATAAATCGTATAGTTTAGGCAATATTCGGTTTTTTGTTTAACCGTTGCTGTTTTATACGATTTCCTCGAGTTATTTTCGAGAAAACAAAGTTTTACGGTTTTTATCGTAAAACTCGAACGATAGGACGGATCGAGACAAAACGGGAGACATTTGACCGTGATTCGGAATACGATCGTGTCGAAGGACGTATGCCTTGAATCAAGGATGTGGGAGATCGAGGCTCGGGATGGTCGGCTCGACGTATGGCGAGCTAGTTCAGCTTGGCCAGGTCACCGTATGGCGAACAAGGCGATAAGAACATGTGGGGCAAAGTCAGCGCCTCTTAGTTCGCCGTTGGGCGAACTAGTCGGGACGAGGCTAGTTCGCCCAACGGTGAACTAGGCCGGCTTGGCTTAGTTCGCCGTTGGGCGAACTAGCCGGGACGGGGCTAGTTCACCCAACGGCGAACTGGGCGATAAGAACCTGTGGGGCAAAGTCAACGCCTCTTAGTTCGCCATTGGGCGAACCAGACGTGACGAGGCTAGTTCGCCCAACGGTGAACTAGGCCGGCTTGGCTTAGTTCGCCGTTGGGCGAACTAGCCGGGACGGGGCTAGTTCGCTTAACGGCGAACTGGGCGATAAGAACCTGTGGGGCAAAGTCAGCGCCTCTTAGTTCGCAGTTGGGCGAACCAGTCGTGACGAGGCTAGTTCGCCCAACGGCGAACTAGGCCAGCTTGGCTTAGTTCGCCGTTGGGCGAACTAGCCAGGACGGGGCTAGTTCGCCGTTGGGCGAACTAGCCGGGACGAGGCTAGTTCACCCAACGGCGAACTAAGCCGGCTTAGCTTAGTTCGCCGTTGGGCGAACTAGTCGGGATGGGGCTAGTTCGCCCAACGGCGAACTAGCCGGGACGAGGCTAGTTCGCCCACCGGTGAACTAAGCCGGCTTGGATTAGTTCGCCGTTGGGAAAACTAGCCGGGACGAGGCTAGTTTACGTTTTACGGCGGTTTCGGTTTTTTGCGGTTTTGTAAAATGATTCTTCGAGTTTTATAAAACGATTCTTCGAGTTTTATAAAATGATTCTCGAGTTGTATAAAACGATTCTTGAGTTTTATAAAACGATTCTCGAGTTTTATAAAACGATTCTTCGAGTTTTATAAAATTATTCTTCGAGTTTTATAAAATGATTCTCGAGTTTTATAAAACGATCTTTGAGTTTTATAAAACGATTCTCGAGTTTTATAAAACGATTCTTCGAGTTTTATAAAACGATTTTCGAGTTTTATAAAGCGATTCTTGAGTTTTATAAAACGATTCTTCAAGTTTTATAGAACGATTCTTTGAGTTTTATAAAACGATTCTTCGAGTTTTATAAAACGATTCTCGAGTTTTATAAAATGATTCTTCAAGTTTTATAAAACGATCCTAGAGTTTTATAAAACGATTTCTTTTATATTTTTGCGGAGACTTTTTGCCATTGATTCCGTCGTGACCGATTTTTACACCAACAGTTAGCCCCCCAGCTCGCTAGAATCTTGAGCCTTTTGGCGTAAGGTTCTTGCGAGTGGTTAGCCAGTTTTAGTTAAGTTAGGCGGAATTAATGGTTGGAAAGGTCCGTTGAAAGTGATATTTCCACTCTCCAGGGAGCATAAAGCGTTTAAGATTAGGGCTGCGCCTTGTGAAGGCTGCCTACGTACCCTTTTGAGGGGATCAAGCCTTTCGTAGTTCGTTTTGGAGTTAAGGTTCGTATGACCTGTTTCGCAGTGAGACCTTTATAGTCTAGTTATGTGTCGTGTAGGAGTTATCGAGCATATTGATGTTGATGGCATCTGGACCTTTGCCAGCCTTGAGACTAGCCTCGTAGGCCGTTTGGTCTGGCCGAGCGTGGCCGTTATAGTTTTCGGACTGGCCGAGTGCGACTCTGAGTCCCTGCCGCTTTTGAGGCTTTATTAAAAATCAGTTTGTGTTTTTAAGAGCGTGTTTTTATTCATATGAATGTAGCGGGAAGAATATGAGTTGATATTGAGGGAGGTCCGCGAGTTGTCATCTCGCATTCCTTTTTCCCTTAGTGTATCGCCTTGTTCATTTGCTCGTTTTAGGATGTATAGTAAATCGAGTGAGTGTTTAGATATAGACGAAGAGACATGCCTTTAGGATCTTGATTCATGCCTTGAGACGTTAGCAACCAGTGTGCTGGGTTTAGGGCAAGACATAGGTTTACTTTCGGATAAAGGCTATGCAATGACTAGTCGGATTTCGTTTTGCCTGTTGCGATTTTAACCTGATTCCATACCGATTTAGAATCCGCGATAGGTTCTCGGCTTATATGATTCGTCTGGTTGGAGCCGAGCATCTCACCGGGAACAATTTCTAAGTTGCCCGGAAGTGCTGACCAAAAGTTTGGATTTCTTTTATAGCGCTATTACCCATGTGTCGGGTGTTCGAGAGCTATCTCTGCGAGATAACTTAAGTTTGTTTAGGACTGTTGCGAGTTTGTTGTGATCAGCAACAAACTTTTTAGGTGATAGATGTTTACGTTGTTTGGGCCTTCGCAAAGGATACGTATGTTAAGAAGTTTTGCGTATTTTATAGTCGCGAACGGACTGTTAGGTCTTGCAAGAAAATGACTTTATCGAGGAAGGTATTTGTGTCGAAAAACTAATCTTTGGGCATCTGCGACGTCTCGCAGTGCCGAAAGTTGGTTTTTATTTTATATGCCGCGTTTCGTGTTCGGAACGTTTGCAGGCTCGAAGATGTTTCGCGGTGTTGCGATGGTTTTGTCTTAACCCTGCTTTTTAGGAACACTTTGGTTCGTTTGCGGATATTCGCAATTAAAACTTACATTCCTGTTTGGATGTTAGGTAGTTTTATGATTTGTGCTAGAGCAATTAGGACCGAGAGGTCGCATAAGTTGTTTCCCCGAAACGAAGCGTTTTTCGTCACGGTGCTTTGTGAGGTGTTGACCCTCCGAGATTCGTACGGCTTTAGGAGCTCTGTTACGAGCGTTTTCTTACACGTCGGAATTTGTAGGCAACTTGCTTCGGAAATAGAGTGGATCGTGAAAATACAGAACTTAGCCAATTTTCGACAAGTTTGCATTATCCGTTGAATGTGTTGGCTCGGCGTGAAGGTTGTATTCAGCCGTACAGCCAAAGTCGCATTTGGTAGAGGATTAGACTACGACACTTTTGTGCTATCGATAAGGTCGAGTCGGTTTGTAAACTTGGCACTGAAGTGAAGCGTGATCGGACAATAGCCAAGTAGCGTTTGTCGAGCTTGATATGCCAAGTATGCACGTGGTTATAGAAAATGTTTTTCTTTTTTAGGTTTGATTTATACGATGAAAGTTTTGTTTCACCTTTCCTTTGTTTGTGTGGAAGTTGTTTTCTATTTTGCCCGAAGGAGACGAAGCTTTAAGAAACTTGGTGTCGAGCCTATACGAAGTCAGTTGCGGGATGGTTTCATTCTCGGATGCAATCGGGAGGAATGAAAGCGAATGCTCGTGAACCGAAGGGCTAAAGAGTGTGATCTTTCAGATCGTGGCGTGAGGAAACAAAGTTTAGATTGGTCGCTCAGTGCCAGATCGTATAGCTTGGTTTTCGCTATAAGGTAGGTACTCTTTGCAAAACCTGTTATGTTTATTTTCGAATGTTACTTCGTTATGACATGATCCTGACCATACGAAGGATTTCTCGCGATGCCTATCGTGCATTTTAGTCATACCCCGGAAGATAAGTGGATCCAACACCATGTAATCCTATCAAAAAAACAGGAAGGTAAGCTACATTATGTTATGCTTCAGAAAGGAAAAAAAACTGTAAGGAACTCACAAGTGCCTAACACTATGTTCATAGTGTGAGACCTATAATACTTAAATACTATGATACACTGCAGCTTCAAAGATGTAAGATACTTGTTTGCAAAAAACTATGGTTTAAAGGTCATAAACCGAAAACGTTTACTCACGGACACAAATGGTTGAAATATCGCACTTCAGGAAAACAAGTCTACCAAGAAATGGAAGGTATTGTACCCATTTAACTAATATAAACAAGGACGATTGTAGAGAATCACTTGTCAAAATCATACCTCAATACGTAAACTTTTCCCTCTTCTCATGGCGGTTAATACCTGACGTATCTGCGAACAAAAAGAGGAAAGAGTACAACTCGCTATTAAAAACACTTATAGAAGTGCACAAAACAAGATGTAGAGAACAAACATTGCCCACAACGTAGCAAAACCAGATAATATCACAAAAAGAGGAAAAGAGTACTATGGTTTGCATTAAGTCATATAAGAATTCACCAAACTGCTCTAGCTCTCAGATATGAAGTTAGCTAACAAAAGTACAAAACCAGAAAACATCATCCCCAGGAGGTACTCTAAGAAGTATTAAAATTATACAGGAAAGATCAAAAGAAAACCTCAATTCAAAAAGAAGACTAACTAAACTAAAACCCACAAAAACCAAACCATAGACAGATACTCTTAACGATTGTAGGCTGTTAAGAAGATAGTGAAAGATGCTATTAAAGAGAGAGTATTTTATAGAATAACACAGACCTCAAAGATAAGGTGATTCCTTCCATCACTGTCAGCAGCTAAGCTCCTCCCTAGGTGACGCACGTGGAGAAGCTCATTATGTCTCTCTGATAACAACCCTGATCTTCTTTTCCGTGAGCGATGGCTCCGGGTATTAGAACTATATGGCTCATTTGAGGATAGAAAAGGAGGACCTCTGGGCAGTAAGGGAAGAGATGTACCATGACCAGTAGATTGAGATTCAATACTAGGAAATAAAGACCAAGGAGAAATGTGTGATGCTCTCGTTGGATTATTATGTATTGGGGCACTCTGAGGAAGAATCCATGCGGGATTTGGCTGTTTCCCTTGAATAGCTGAACTCGTCCGTGCTCGAGAAACAAAGGGAGAATCTGTAGAAGACCCACGTGTGAAACTCCACATTGATTGATCATGCACATGATTTCTAATTTCAGTTGTAGGTGCAAACATGGGATTGATTCTTGGTGTTTCCCACTGTGGCAATTCAATACCTGACAAATTGCTGCTAGCATCCCAAGCAAATTTGTGTATATTCCTCGTCAATGCAGGGTGATGGACTAAATTTGTCTGATTCTCACCACTAGTGAATGATGTTTCGAGAGGATCTCCAGACAGAGCGTTTGGTAGTATATTTTGTTGCACAGAACTTCCACCAAGTGATATGCTGAATGCTACAGGTTCCTGAGGCTGCCTCAGATTTAATCTTCTGCCATGTCTAGATGAAGTGTCAGCGTTTCTTACAGAATGAAAACCGTTAGTTGCAACCACCGATCTACCACCACCACCAGTTCCAAACATCGGTTCTGTCTGGCCAAAATGATTAGTAACATTCGGAGAACTTTGTAAGGGTGTAGCCAAAGTTAAGCTACTTGAAGCACCATGATGAAAATGACCTGCATTCTCGCAGTAAGGAGTTTCACCAGAAAAAGAAGTGTAGTAGGAAATCCTTCGAAAGACTTTTTTTGCAGGAGGAACCCCTAACACCCAAGGAAGAGGCCGGACCACTACTGCTCTCTCCAGCTGCCTGAACTGAGCTTCCTAATGAACTTCCATGACGGAAAACGACCCTGGAAGTCTGTGTACCTGAATAATCATCGCTGTCCATGTACTAGGCGGTTTAGTCTTTCCATTTCGCCCAGATTTGAGTTTAATGGGAATCCTCCATTTATCTCGATCTTTCCTTTTTTCCCACGAAATCTTCTATCTATTCTCAAACTTGACATTTATCTTCAAGTTTGACATTTATCTTCTTTCTGCGAGTAAATCGCCAAAACGTCGCCGTATCTTCGGGTTGGACTTCGTTTAAAGTCGCGAGTGGCTTTTATCGCATTTTATGACTTTCCAAGCCGTTTTGCGATAAATCCGTTTTACAACTTTAGACGAGATCGTTTCCTGATACGATGCCGTTTTTAGATAAGTTTCTCGAGTTAATCGTAAAGCTAAGTAATGTTCGATGTTTCGATTAGTCAATGCCGTTTTCTACGATTTACTCGGGGTTTTATTAAAAACGCGTTTTGTACGATTTTTACGAAAAATCTCGAATAAATTGTATAGTTTAGGCAATATTCGGTGTTTTGTTTAACCGTTGCTGTTTTATACGATTTCCTCGAGTTATTTTCGAGAAAACAAAGTTTTACGGTTTTTATCATAAAACTCGAAAGATAGGACAGATTGAGACGAAACGGGAGACATTTGACCGTGATTCGGAATACGATCGTGTCGAAGGACGTATGCCTTGAATCAAGGATGTGGGAGATCGAAGCTCGGGATGGTCGGCTCGACGTACGGCGAGCTAGTTCAGCTTGGCCAGGTCACCGTATGGCGAACAAGGCGATAAGAACATGTGGGGCAAAGTCAGCGCCTCTTAGTTCGCCGTTGGGCGAACTAGTCGGGACGAGGCTAGTTCGCCCAACGGTGAACTAGGCCGGCTTGGCTTAGTTTGCCGTTGGGCGAACTAGTCGGGACGGGGCTAGTTCACCCAACGGCGAACTGGGCGATAAGAACTTGTGAGGCAAAGTCAGCGCCTCTTAGTTCGCCATTGGGAGAACCAGACGTGACGAGGCTAGTTCGCCCAACGGTGAACTAGCCCGGCTTGGCTTAGTTCGCCGTTGGGCGAACTAGCCGGGACGGGACTAGTTCGCTTAACGGCGAACTGGGCGATAAGAACCTGTGGGGCAAAGTCAGCGCCTCTTAGTTCGCCGTTGGGCGAACCAGTCGTGATGAGGCCAGTTCGCCCAACGGCGAACTAGGCCAGGTTGGCTTAGTTCGCCGTTGGGCGAACTAGCCGGGACGAGACTAGTTCACCCAACGGCGAACTAAGCCGGCTTAGCTTAGTTCGCCGTTGGGCGAACTAGTCGGGATGGGGCTAGTTCGCCCAACGACGAACTAGCCGGGACGAGGCTAGTTCGTCCACCGGTGAACTAAGCCGGCTTGGATTAGTTCGCCGTTGGAAAAACTAGCCGGGACGAGGCTAGTTTGCGTTTCACAAGTGCCTAACACTATGTTCATAGTGTGAGACCTATAATACTTTAAAGACTATGATATACTGCAGCTTCAAAGATGTAAGATACTTGTTTGCAGGAAACTATGGTTTAAAGGTCATAAACTGAAAACGTTTACTCACGGACACAGATGGTTGAAATATCACACTTCAGGAAAACAAGTCTACCAAGAAACGGAAGGTATTGTACCCATTTAACTAATATAAACAAGGACGATTGTAGAGAATCACTTGTCAAAATCATACCTCAATACGTAAACTTTTCCCTCTTCTCATGGCGGTCAATACCTGACGTATCTGCGAACAAAAAGAGGAAAGAGTACAACTCACTATTAAAAACACTTATAGAAGTGCACAAAACAAGATGTAGAGAACAAACATTGCCCACAACGTAACAAAACCAGATAATATCACAAAAAGAGGAAAAGAGTACTATGGTTTGCATTAAGTAATATAAGAATTCACCAAACTGATCTAGCTCTCAGATATGAAGTTAGTTAACAAAAATACAAAACCAGAAAACATCATCCCCAGGAGGTACTCTAAGAAGTATTAAAATTATACAGGAAAAATCAAAAGAAAACCTCAATTCAAAAAGAAGACTAACTAAACTAAAACCCACAAAAACCAAACCATAGACAGATACTCTTAACGATTGTAGGTTGTTAAGAAGATAGTGAAAGATTCTTTTAAAGAGAGAGTATTTTATAGAACAACACAGACCTCAGAGATAAAGAGATTCCTTCCATCACTGTCAGCAGCTAAGCTCCTCCCTAGGTGACGCACGTGGAGAAGCTCATTATGTCTCTCCGATAACAACCCTGATATTCTTTGCCGTGAGCGATGGCTCCGGGTATTAGAACTATATGGCTCATTTGAGGATAGAAAAGGAGGACCTCTGGGCAGTAAGGGAAGAGATGTTTAGCAAATCGAGTGAGCGTTTAGATATAGACAAAGACACATGCCTTTAGGATCTCGATTCATGCCTTGAGACGTTAGCGACCAGTGTGCTGGGTTTAGGGCAAGACCTAGGTTTACTTTCGGATTGAGGCTATGCGATGACTAGTCGGCTTTCGTTTTTCCTGTTGCGATTTTAACCTGGTTCCATACCGATTTAGAATCCGCGATAGGTTCTCGGCTTATATGATTCGTTTGGTTGGAACCGAGCATCTCACCGGGAACAATTTCTAAGTTGCCCGGAAGTGCTGACCAAGAGTTTAGATTTCTTTTATAGCGCTATTACCCTTGCGTCGGGTGTTCGATAGCTATCTCTGCGAGATAACTTAAGTTTGTTTAGGACTGTTGCGAGTTTGTTGTGGTCAGCAACAAAGTTTTTAGGTGATAGATGTTTACGTTGTTTGGGCCTTCGCGAAGGATATGTATGTTAAGAAGTTTTGCGTATTTTATAGTCGCGAACGGACTGTTAGGTTTTCCAAGAAAATGACTTTATCGAGGAAGGTATTTGTGTCGAAAAACTAATCTCCGGGCGTCTGCGACGTCTCGCAGTGCCGAAAGTTGGTTTTTATTTTATATGCCGCGTTTTGTGTTCGAAACGTTTGCGGGCTCGAAGATGTTGCGCGATGTTGCGAGGGTTTTGTCTTAACCTTGCTTTTTAGGAACACTTTGGTTCGTTTGCGGATATTCGCAATTAAAACTTACATTCCTGTTTGGATGTTAGGTAGTTTTATGATTTGTGCTAGAGCAATTAGGACCGAGAGGTCGCGTAATTTGTTTCCCCGAAACGAAGCGTTTTCCGTCATGGTGCTTTGTGAGGTGTTGACCCTCCGAGATTCGTACGGCTTTAAAAGCTCTATTACAAGTGTTTTCTTACATGTCGGAATTTGTAGGCAACTTGCTTCGGAAATAGAGTGAATCGTGAAAATACAGAACTTAGCCAATTTTTGACAAGTTTGCATTATCCGTTGAATGTGTTGGCTCGGCGTGAAGGTTGTATTCAGCCGTACAGCCAAAGTCGCATTTGGTAGAGGATTAGACTACGACACTTTCGTGCTACCGATAAGGTCGAGTCGGTTTGTAAACTTGGCACTGAAGTGAAGTGTGATCGGACAATAGCCAAGTTTCTCGGACGGAATGAATCACATGACCAAAAATAGGATCAGTCGGCGAGAAGGAAGAACGTGTTCTCTATTGCTGCTGTGTGTTCTCGTTTTTCTTTTTGCCGCAAATGTTCTTGATATTATTCCGTGACTCACTTGATTCGATGGAAAATGAGAGCAATGTTTTGACGCCTAAATATTTCTCGTATAATTTTTCGATTCTTATACGAAACTTGTTTTATCAAGTTTGAGAAGATCTTTATGACTTCGGCAAATTATCGAGTTTCACCCTGAAGTTTCGCAGAGATTTTTTAAACGCATGATTGCAACGAGAGATGCTGTATAGTCCTCGAGATTATTTCCCAGACGGTTTGGATCAGTCTTTAGCGCTTAGACGGTTTTTAGATTGTCGTTTGCTTTTGGGATGATTTCAACGAGGTGTTGCATCGTCCGAATATTTTTGTTCTTGTTTTGGCGAGAGTTTGCTTTATAGAAAGTGTTTTCTCGATGCGAGGGAAAATATTCTATGAAAAGAAAAAAGACGAGTTTCCTTTGAAGGATTCGGATGATCGATTATCCGGGTTGGTTAAAGACTTGGGTAGATTGGAGATGACTTGGAGTATGTCTGGTTTACGAAAATTTCTAGGAGCGAGTCGGTTTTAAGACGACGTCAGCGTCTCTAGCTCCTTCTTTCTTAGTTTCATCGATGATTTGGGATCGTCTATTCTTTGTTCTTCGTCTTTTGACTTACCGGTCTTCGACGAATTACCAGCAAGAGTATCGGAGCGGGGAGAAGACTTAACCATCGGAGCTCATGTTCTTGTTTCTTCGTACTTCTGGTTTTATTTGACCGACTAGGTGCGCTTTGTATATCAAAAAAAAATCACGTGTTTATAATTGGATGTTTTCGACTTAGCATGGCAGAGTTTCTTAAAACCGGATTGGGTCTAGAGTGTTCAGATTTCTCGTATAGTTTAGGCAACTTCGGTGTTAAGTCAACCGTTGCCGTTTTAGACGATTGATTCGAACTTATACGAAGAAACAAGTCTTCGCGGTTTTATCGTAAATTCCCGATGGAAATTCCGATTGAGACGAAACGAGAATCAGCGCGATCAAGACTCGGGAGAGAAACTCGAGGTTTGGTTCAGCTCGACGTAGGGCAAGTCGGGTGAACCCTTTCAGCTCGCCGTGTGGCGATCCGGATGGTAAGAACCCTTGGGGCAAAGTCAGCGTCTCTCGGGCGAGCTAGGCGCTTGGTTCAGCTCTACGTTCGGCGAGCTAATGTTGGGGTCAAAATCGGTACGACGGAATCAACGGCCGAAACTCCCCGCAGAAATATAAAAGGAATGGTTTTATAAAACCCAAAGAATCGTTTTATAAAACTCGAGGATCGTTTTATAAAACCCGCAGACTATTTTACAAAACTCGAGAAGCCGTTTTATAAAACTCGAGAAGCCGTTTTATGAAACTCGAGAAGCCGTTTTATAAAACTCAAAGATCGTTTTATAAAACTCGAGAAGCCGTTTTATAAAACTCAAAGATTGTTTT